AAGGCAATACAGGCGAATGCTAGGGGCGCCATCCGTCCCTAGAGGCTGAGTGTGTGTTTTGAAAGGTTAGCTGACATGATGATTATCTCTGAGATCCCCCGTTATTATCTGCACCTCAGTCTGCCTGACATGTTATGTGGAGGCCGGGGTGAGTGCAGCTCAAGCCAGCCGCTGGAAACAGAACCTGACCCCTTTGCTTGTTCTGTCATCTGATAAGAGCCAGTGTTTTGATAGTGTTGGCCCTCTCGACGTGATCCACGGCTCTCCTTTTACACCCGTATAGCAAACAGGGCTGTCTAAACAACAGTTTATGGCCAGGACAAGGCCTGGTCAACCGTCATCAAAGATCTACTCTGGGATGAGCCATTCGGTGTGGACCAGATGTTAGAAGAAGCTGTGGCAATGATGGCAGATCGATTTCTTTCTCAGAATAGGATAAATTACAGGCTAATTAAGGAACCGGTGACAAAGTGAATTAATGTATTATAAGCTTAATTAGTTTTCTTTAAGTCATACAAGGTTAGGGATCATTTTTCCAGTCTTCGATTAAAAATATATATCTTTAGAGAGTTAATTTCTCCTCTTGTCTTTACATCTTTTTCCATCTTCCCTCCTCGTGCCCTTTACCATTGACCGGTGTTGAACCCTGGCTGGTGACAGCTTTACAGTATGAAATAGAACTCATTGTTGTTATTCAATATGGCTCCGCTGAATAAGTCCATAAATGCATTAAGGTCTCGTTGTCCCGACTATGGTGAACTGACGTTCAACCCCGGCAGCGTTGTAAAATGCAGATCGGGTTCACTGACAGGCCTTCCATTTTATTACACTTTCATTTACTTATTCTATCGGGGATAGCGGCTTTGAGAGCTCACTGGTCACATTAGCAAAGGACGGACATGTTTTGGCAACTTTTTACATTTTATTACATTCTGCTAAACGTATAAAAGGGGACATGTATGTGCCGAGTGAGATATGTGATGAGATATGTGATCAGATTTTAAGAACAATAAAAAGTTTTGATCGGCCGTGTCCAAAAACATCATCATTTTGAGCTGAGCTGAAACAATAAGTTGATAAGTTCATCAATGAAAATCAATCTTAAATCTTTCGAGCAAAAAGGCCAAACTTTCTCTGGTTCCAGCTCCTTAAATGACAATATTTGCTGCTTTTCTTTGTCATATATATATACGTATATATATATATGTATGTATGTATGTATGTGTATATATATATATATATATATATATATATATATATATATATATATATGTATATGTATGTGTCAGTAAACTGAATTAGGAACAGGATAATTATAGTTGGCAATATTTGATATTTTGTGACATTTATAGACAAAATGATTTACACATTTATCAAGAAAATAATCATTAATGAAAATTGCTATTAGTTGCAGCCCTGTTCTCGAGTATAAAAATGGGTTTCAGGTTCTTTTTGGGGGTTTTTGGTTTTTTTTTCTGATTATCCGTATTCATTGAAACTTTTAGGTGATTGCCACTTATTTAACAAAAACAAGAAAACTTTTCTATCAAATGCGGGAACATTACTATCATTTCACTGTAAACAAGTAGAGTCACGTGTCGATCCATGAGTTGGCTACTTTCATCAAAGCTTGTTTTGCACTTGTGCTGCGTCAGTTATCTGTTTGGTCGACCTGCGCCGTTAAACGATGCAGGCCTTTGTCCGCCGCTGAGATTTAGTTTAAGGTTAAATGCCTTGCCCTTAAACTCATCCGCTGGGCCAGAGTGTGTGGCAAGGTCACCGTTCCAGTCAACCTGGTGTTAACACAAAGGCCGCTTGTCCCCTAATGAATTAGCGCTACTGTTCCTCAGCGAGTCCCGACACGGCCCTCCAGCCCCTTCGCAGGCCTTCCCAGCCCAGCTGCCCTTTCACACGCACCCCCTTGCCTCTTAATTTTTAAATGAGTTTTATAACTGGACAGTAAACTTCCAGTGGCTTAATGATGATGACTTCTTCATCTGCCCAAATGCTCCTTTTGTCCGCCCTTCCTCGGGCCCTGTACCCTGCCCCCGTTCCCTCTGGTCACGCCAAGCCTTAAACCTTGGTTCACCCCACTTTATAGTTCCTCAGATAATCCCCTAACACACACACACACATGCACCCTCAAGCTATTATCTTCACTGAGGCCTGCTCTTTCTCCTTCTCTCTGTTACTGCCAACTTCAGCAATGGCATTCAGCTGGAATGTTTGCCTTTGTTTGTGTGGCCCACTGGAAAGCCATGAATGACCTTAGCTCATCTGCTATCCTCACTAGCACCGATTTACACTTCAGGGCCCAGCAGGTAGTCCCGAAGAGCCGGGGGGAGGGGGTCCCGAAGAAGGTTGTGGGGCTTTTGTAAGGAAATGGCTAGGGGCTGCCACCCGGACAGTAAACAGCAGCGCGAGTCCTCACACCTTTGGCGTCAGGTAGCCCACGTCGAGCAGGTAGATGAGGGGATGCTGTTGCGGGAATTTTCACATGCTGTTATTTTTGTTTTCTTGTTTTGTTTTGCTGCCACATTGTTTTTCTTATTATAAGAGTCAGATGTGCTAATTAGCACCATGGCTTTCTGTGCTCCCTCCCCGACTGATACTCGCGTGTCTCGATTTCTCGATTAAACCTCGTCCTCATGTTCCTACAGTATCAGAGCCTCAACCTGCCACAGTATGTCATCAGTATAGAAGCCATCCCACTGTGCTAGGCTAGGCCAGCAGGTCACTGAGTCAGCTAACACAAAGCTGTGTCGCTCCTCTGGGAATCCTGAGAGAGGAAGAACCCCTTCCCCTACCCTTCTCCACATTTAAGAGCATCAAGCCCAAGATCTCCCAGACCCCCCCAACACAGCTGATCATGTGACTCGTCTTTCCTCAGGTGGCGGTGGCAGGGATACTTCCCCTTTGTCAGAGACTTTAGTAGGAGCTCAATGCAGCGGTGAAGGATGGGCTGGGGGGCGGGAATGCATTCAATCCACACCCTTTTGTTTTTTTGCACGGTGTCTTTTGAGGCCAAAGAGAATGCTGGGCTTACTCATTATCTCCATTCTGAATGGGCTATTTAAGACAGGCCACGTCAAAGTCAGGGGCTTAGACATACATCACACTGACGGCTCTTTTCCCCCAGTTGAACTTGTGGCTACACTGGTATCCGATGGATCACTGAAAAGACATTTCCCTTTTTGTCACACCTGATAATAACTACAGTTAATTTACGATACATCTAGCACTGAAAAACGCCAAATAAAACCCAGAGGCACAGTTTGGGACTCACCGACGTTTTCCCATGTGTGGTCTAAATCAGCAATAGCCGGACACATTTCACAGTCAAACTCAAGCCCAATGTTTGGACAAATGCTGCTGATTGAGAGAAATGAAAGGCCCGTAAGGACTAATGGAGGCCCTGATTGGCTCGCGTAGTGGTTTACAGCTCCCATCACGCTGACTGTGCACTAATATAACCATTGGTGAGGAGAGCTGCACACGACTTGATTAACACAACTGTGGAACTGTGTCTGTGGTAAAGAACTGGAACACCAGTCACACGGCTCAGCGAAGCATGAAACCTGGGCCAGTAAAGAGAGAGATATTTATAATCAATACAATGTTATTGTAATCATTCATCTCTATTAATAAGTAGGTGTTTTCTGTTGAAGTTCATGCAAAAACCCAATTTCTAGACAGTGATACATTTGCAGTCTTCTTTCTCTCCCCTCAATAAAAGCAAGTTTTAACCAATTCTTCTGAGGGAAAACATTGGTATTAGAGACTAAAAATATGCTGTTGAATGGTGAGTGCATCCTCCTTGCCATCAAGTAGATGCGACTTTGCTCAAACCTACTATTTACCCGACAAATTCTTGCTGACTTGGCATTAATTAGTCAAAAGAAAAACAGACGCAGGAGTCTAAATTAGTAACTTTACATGCGCAAGGCCACAGTAAACGATTAAGTTAAGTGTGTAAGCGCCCTTGAATGGAAAAAGATTGAACCATGAAATGTAACAGTTGATAACAGATTGTTAATCCTCAACATAGTTTCAACATGCTGCTTAATACGCACTACGAGGACTCGAGGGAAGAGTGATTTAACTAGTCTCATAGTTGGAAGTGGTTTGACATTCTCCTCTGATGTTGCAGACGTACATGTTTGAACATTAATGTCACACTTCTTCACTTACATACCCGAACACCATACCCTTACCTGGAAATGAGCACCCTTTCCATTTAGCGATACCATGGGAAGGTGCTAACCCTGATCATTAGGCTTTAATGACATAGAATCCCTAACATCTGCCAGTGGCTGTTGATTTGCGGTGCATTTCCGTTTATTTATTTTGGCCAGATGAGCCCCTGGTATTTATAGCGGGAGTAAAAGCCCAGAGTGGGGTCAATCCTTGGCAAGGCTAAGAAGACAAAATGCTCAGGCTGACCTGACATTCTTGTCCCCATTTTGCTGGGGACAGATTCCCCCTTCCCCTGAATTGGCCCCCCCAATAAAAATAAAAAAGGCGGGTGTGTCAGTCAGCCAGAAAGAGCCTGAACTGAGCGTCGGAGCGAGAGTTGGATTTAAAGATCCACCCTACCCCTCTCTCTTGAAAACCACCTGACACAGTGTCGGTGTCTTGGCGTGCAGGGGGGTCACGCGTGGCAGGGCGCCGTGGCTGTGTGGCAGGGTGGAAATGCGGGACCTTCTTCTTTGTTTCTCCCCCCCATCCACACACACAGCTCTGCAGGCCTCCAAGAGCATCTGTCACCACAGGGGGTCAACAGGGCCAAGATGAATGAGCCCCCGGTGGATTCCCTCCCTCCTTGGCAAATGGCACAGGACAGAGGAGGGCATAGGGGACTCGGGGGAGGGGTGTGTGTGTGTGTGTGTGTGTGTGTGTGTGTGTGTGTGTGTGTGTGTGTGTGTGTGTGTGTGTGTGT